GGAGGACAGAGGTGATGCTGAGGGGGCCAGGCCTGTGGCGGCAGAGGCGTCCTGTCCCAGTTGTGGAGACCTTCACATGTGCTGGCCTAGGAGGGCCGCTCGGACGTGAGAAAAAGCCAGAGACTTGCCTGGTTGCATTTCAGAGCCATTTTCATATATATATAATATATATATATATTAATGTCTTTATTGATTTCAGGGAGAGGGAGAGAGAGAGAAACATCCATGATGAGAGAGTCATTGATCAGCTGCCTCCTGCACGCCCCTTACCAGGGATCAGGCCCCAAACCCCCCGGGCCTGTGCCCTGACCGGGAATCGAACCTCGATCTCCCGGCTCCTAGGTTGATGCTCCACCGCTGAGCCACGCCCGGCCGGGCCCAGAGCCGTTTATTTGTGAGCCTCGCACAGACACATGCACACAGATGTACACATACATATATGCACACACATCTGGATACGCACATATAGACTCTCGCACATCCATGTACATGTATAAGTGCACAAGCACACATCCACCCACACGCACTCGCAGGCGTGATGGAACAGACATGTGCAGGGCAATGATGACCGTCCATGATCGCTGCTTTGGAATGAAGGCCGGTGCGCGTTGGCCCAGCCCCTGGGTGACAGCTGCACAGACCTGCCGCTGTGGACAAGAAACACGAGTGGGCCCCCCACGCAACTAGCGCCGTAACGGTGTCAAAGAGGCCGGCGTGACGGTTAGGAACGCGGACAATGAGTTCGAATGCGGACTCTGCTGTCTTGAGCAAGCTACTTAACTGCTCTGTGCCTCAGTTTCCCCATCCACAAGATGAGGGTAATCATAGCACCTGCCCCGTGGGGCTGCAGTGGGATCCGAACTCCCCGCGTCTGCCTGGGGCGGGGAGCAGCCCCTTAGGAGGAGCCAGGAGCCCCGGTAAGACCTGGGGACCTCAGTGGCGGGGAGACGGCAGGAGGGACAGGTCCCTGATAACCCTACACTCCTCTGGGCCGTCCGCACAGGGCGGGGCAGAAGTCGGTTTACAGGTTTTCACGTGGGAAGCAACCCAGTGATTAACAAATTAGAATACGGGGTGCCGTTCCCCCTTCTCACAGCCGTAAGCCTGTTTGCCCCCCGCATTTCCCAGGGTGTGTACATTATGTAGATATTTTGAGAAACCCCCTACAGCCCTCCTCACTGGGGGCTCTTTGATCTCCTTTCTTCCAATGCTCTGGCCCAGAATATTTAGCAAGGCTTCTAATGATGCTTTAATGACGTAACCAGCTTTATCAACTAATGCGTATAATTTAAAGAGACGCGAGCATTGCGTGTGCGGCCAGCTGCTCGTTTGCTCCGCGATGTGCTAAGAGATGGGCCCCAGTTCTGAAAAGACTATGGGCGAGGAAGGGGGGGAAAGGCACTTAGGGAATTTTATGTTACGACTTAAAAAGAACAACACCTTGCAGGCCAGAGACGGGTTCACTGAGGAGCTGCCCATTGAGGTCCCCAGAGGTGGCAGAGCCGAGCAGGACCCGGGCGATGGCCGGGAGTGTCTCTCACCTTCCCAAGGACAGGGAGGCCCGGGAGGCGGCCAGGCCCCCACACAGCAGGATTCCGCCCAAGTCACTGCCCCTGGGCTTATAAGGCAGCTGCCCAGACACCGGCGTGAGAAGCGGGGGCCGGAGCGCATGGGGTGGTGGCCAGGCCCGCGTGACTGCCGCCCAGGCCGCGGCCGAGGGACCGCAGCCCAGGACGGCCAGGACTCTGCAACTTCAATATCAACGCAGATGTTAAGTCCAAATGAGAATATTTCCTTACTCAGGCCCTGGCCGGTGTGGCTCAGTGGTTGGGGCGTCGGCCCACACACCACAGGGTCACAGGTTTGATTCCTGGTCTAGGGCACATACCTGGGTTGCAGGTTCGATCCCCNACACACCACAGGGTCACAGGTTTGATTCCTGGTCTAGGGCACGTACCTGGGTTGCAGGTTCGATCCCCGGGCCCCGGCCGGGGTGCGTGCGGGGAGCAACCAATCATTGTGTCTCTTTCTCTCTCTCTCTCCCCCCTCTCCCTCCCTTCCACTCTCTCTAAAAGAAAACAAAAAACAGTCAATGGAAAAAATATCCTTGGGTGACGGTTAACAAACAAAACAAAACACAGGAGGTGGCCCAGGTTTGGCCCCTGGGCCATCACTTGCCGGCCCCTGCTCTAAGGAATTAGTGTGTATTAGCCACAGCATATCTACAGGCTTTGAGGGGACAGACAGAGCCCCCACCTTGGGTGTCATATTAATCCCTCTGCAGACAGCGCCTGAGCACCAGGGAGTCAGGGCCTTGAAAGTAGGGTCTAGACACCCTGCTAGGATGTGGGTCCGTCCTCCGCTCCTTTTCCTACCCAGGGTCAGACAGCCCTTTCTGTCCTGTGCCCCTGAACCACACTGTCCGGCCTATAGTTGGCCTCTCAAATCTCTGGTCGTGAAGAAGGAATGTGGGTGCTCCCCAGCCCCTCAGGACCCAGGGGATGGCGGGAGAGACCCTTGGGGGCACTTCCAGATTTGTGAATCGCCAGCGACCTGGCCCCTCCCCCCTTTTCTCTGAAACAAATGCCAGCTTCTGCGGGTGGCTCCGTGAGGGCAGGAAGGTGGCCTTGGCTGGTGTTCCCTTCTCCCTGCATCGGGGGTGGCTCTTCCCAGCCCCTCAGCCCCCAGGCTGAGCTGGACGGCAGTTTCCAAACAGATGTGCCACGTCCCCCTACGGCCCTCCCGTCCCCCTACGGCACTGTGAGAACCTGCTCCTCTCCCTCGGATTTCTCAGCCATAGCTGGGGATGGTCACAGTGGCCCAGAGGCAGAGGGCGATGGCCTTGGGACTGGCCTCGGACGAGAGGCTTGGCTGCCCTGACCGGCTTCCAGGGCCACCCTGCCGTGAGCCTGCCTAGGGGCAGCTGACCTCTGGCACGTGTCACCCAACTCATTTCCTCCACCGCCCTCCGTTGGAATCGGCTCGCATGCCCGGAGTTAAAAAGACCAAAAGTTGCGCAACGCCTCCCAGGGATGGTGGCGGCGGCCGGGCAGCAAACACGCCGGTTACACCCTGCTGTGGGCTGGACACTGTCACCCTCTCTGTCGCTAAAAGACGGCTCCGGCCTCG